ATAATAAGTTATTAAAAATTAAGAAAAAATGAATAAATTGCTTAAAGCAGCAATTAATTTAGAGAATAGCCAAATGTGAAAAAAAAAAAAAAAAAAATTAATTAAATTTTATGAAATAAACAATAATTAAACAAAAAAAATTATAGTATAAATTAATCTAAATTTTAATTATAAATAGTTATTATATTTTTATATAAATAAATTTTAATATTAAAAACTACCAAAATAATAATTGCTTTAATATATTTTAAAATATAAATATAAAAAAATTATAATATTAAAAAGTATTAAAATTTATTTTTATAAAAAAATATAAGATATTTAATAATTTTTAGTAAAGAATTTTTAATTTTTTAATTAAAATATATAAAAATAATAATAATAAAATAAATATATAATTAATTAAAATGTGATTTTATTTAATAAGTAATTATTATTTTATTCATTAATAAAAAATAATTATTAATTAAAGAAAAGAAAATATTAAAACATTATATGCAATATTTATACAAAAAAATAAATTTTGCATTTATTTATATTAAATATATATGTATATATATATTCTAATTTTGATTAATATTATATATATATATGTATGCAATAAAAAAAATATTATTTAAAAATAAAAAAAAAAAATATATTTTTATAAGTAAAGATAATTTAAAAAAAAATATTTGTCTATTTTTAATAAATATAATAAAATTAATTTTAAATATATATTTTGATAACATAATAGAAAAAAAAATATAAAAAATATAAAAAATATAAATTTATATATTCTTCAATAATCATAAATCATGAATACTGCCAAGTAATTGTAAATTTAGCAAATAAGCTATTTATGACTTTAATTCTAAAATACCTATATTTTCCCTTTATTAAATTTAATTTAATTTAATTTAATTTAATTTAATTTAATTTAATTTAATTTAATTTAATTTAATTTAAATTAATTTAATTTAATTTATTTTTAATTTAATTTTATCTTAATTTAATTATGTCTTAATTTAATTTAATTATATTTATTTTAGTATATTTTTTTTATATATTTTATTTATTATTTCAATTTATTTAATTTATTTTATATAATTTCAAAATTATTTTTTTTTAAATAAAAAAAAAATATACTTAACACTAGTAAAATGTACAATATGATATATTAGACTATTATTTTTGAATTATTCATCAACACTTTTTATTAAACTATCTTATTAATTTTATGTAATTTTATCGCATTTTGTAAATACAATTACAATTGGTTTCATTTTTTACACTAATAATTATAAAAGCATTTAATCAACTTATTTTATTCCATGTTCACTATCTATAAGTACAAATATTCTATGTAAATAGCTAGAATATTCTATATAATTTAACATCATTTTCCCCCAATTTTATAATTCTTTTTTGTTTCCAACAGCAAATCCGTATCCTGGAGGGTCTACAAGTACTGACCCTTAATCTAGTTATATGAAATTTAATTCTCTTGTTTTTCCAGGCATGTTTGATGTTTCCATTATTTTATATTTTAATAATGCATTTATTAATGAAGACTTTCCAACATTAGATCTTCCTACAACTACAAACTATTAAAAAAATCGATATTAAAAAATTAATTGGTTTAATATTTTTAATCTACTTCTTTTCTTTTTTATAAACTATTTAAATCTTATTTTTGTCTTATATTTTCTAAGTATTATTTTAATTCTTTTGGTTAACATTAACCTTCTTTGTAAAATTTTTATGTAAATCTTTCACCCAATTGTACCTATAGTTTACTTTTATAAAATTATATAGTTATCTTACATTATTTTACCCATTTTGGAGTATTAAATGTCGATTCGAAATTATTGTTTAATATATAAAAAGGCTTTATTTATTTTTTCATTTTTGTTGTTGTTGTTGGAAATATAAGAAAAAGCTATAATATATATATATATATTAAAATAAATATTTAATAGTTTTTTGTTTATTTAATTTTAAATAAATAGTTAGTACTGTAAATGGATATAAAATATTTTTATTTAACTATTTAAAAAGGAAAAATATAAGGTGAAAAAAAATACAAATAAAAAATAATAAAATTTCGAATAAACGATGTAAATAAATATATATAAATTTAAAGATAAAACAAAAAAATATAAAATATATATCAATAAATGATATTTATTAAATTTATTGATTAAATAATTTATTTTAAATTTTTATTAAAAAAATATATATTTGAAAAAGTAATATTTATATATATATAAAATAAAATATTAATTTTATAATATTTTTGAAAATCTAAATAATAAAATATATATAAAATTATAAAATATATATGTAATGCTTATTAATGAATAAATAAAATTTAGTTTATAAAAAGTTGATTTTTATTAATTTCTTAGTATAATAAATATCTCCATGATTTATAATTTAATATAAAAATAAATTATTGTTATTTTTAAAAAATTTATGATACTAATAAAATTACAAAATATATAAAAATAAGTTTTTTTTCAATTATTAACAATACATAAAATTATACTAATATTTATAAAGAAAAAGAAAAAAAAAATATAATCTTTATTTAAAAAAAGAATATAAACATATCCATTAAATAAGATCTTTTATTTTCAATATATAAGATATATTTGTTCAAGAAAAATAAAATTTATATAAAATTATTTTAATAAATAAATCAAAATTATTATGTTTATACTTCATTTTCTTTTTATAATTATTATTATTCTTAATTTTCATTTTATAACTCGATTTTATTATAACTAGAAGAAGAATTTTTCATTTTATTTACAGATTATCTTTAATATTCTTCCTAGTCTAAATTATCTGCACTAATTTTTTATATACTTTATTTTTTCAAAAACTTTTCAGCAAACTAAGGAGCACTTAAAATCAAAGCACTTTCTAACTCTTCATAAGCGCTCTTTTACATTATTTAAGTAGATTATAATCTTTAAATGATTTCCATTTCAAATTCTTCCATTTTTTTAATTTCTCGTTGTTTTTATTACTTTATTTTATCTTCATATAACATTTTTTCTTCAATTTCTCTTTTTATAAATTCCTTCTTAATATCTTGATATTTTTTCATATTTTAATTTTTGTTTTCCTTTTATTTTTTTATAAACTCGTTTCTTTCTCTTGCAATTAAAATTTATTATTCATGACTTTTCTTTATTTTTTGTATGTTTTATATTTTCTAATCTTTTATTTTTTAGACGTTTTCTTTTTTCATTAATAAATATTCTTCTCTTAAAACTTTTCTTTCTTCTTGACTTTAAGCTCTTAATTATTTTACTTTTTATACTTTTTAATCTAATTTTTTTTTTTTTGTTTATTCTCTCTTTTTTTTTATATATATAATTAATCAAAAAAAAAAAAATGTTTAGTTTACTATTGCATTTTTTTCTAAATTTTTCATTTTCAAATAATATATTTCCATAGCTTTTTTACGTGTTTCTTCAATTTTTTTTAAAGTTTTTATTTCTTCTTGTCTTAATAAAGATATCCTGTTTGCTAATGTTTATTAGTTTTCTTCCATATGTTTTCTTTCTTTTCTTGCATTATAATAATTACTTATTGTGCTGTATTTTAAATCAAAGGGATATTAGACAGATTGTTATGCATTTTCTTAAAATTCTATAGTCTCTTGGTTTTAATTAGAAAGGCTTTATTTGTTTCTTAATTCATTTCTATTATTTAGTTCGTCTATATTATTTTATTAATCTTAAATATCTTTTTCTTATTCAAATAAATTTTCATTCTATTATGTTTCTTTCTATTACTCTAATTGTTAATTTGAATGATCTTATTTATCTTATTAATATTATAATTAGGGCTATATTTCTTAGTTATTATTTAATTAAACTTATTCTTCTTAATTATTTAAGATTTTTTCTTACTATTTTTCAAGATTTGTTTAATCCATTATTAGATTTTTAAAATTTTTTTTTATAACTTATTAATAATTAATTATAACAAATTGTTTCGTTTTAAAATTAAATAAAAAATGATTAATAATTTACGTTTAAAATTATAGTATAAAAATTATATGAATTATTAATAATTATTAGTAAATATCTTTTTTATATTTTTTAATTATATATATATATATAATATTTTTTTATAACAAAAAAAAATTATTTTTAAAATGAAAATAAATATATGTATTTTTATTTATTTTAACTTTTTATAATAATTTATATTATTTTTTAAACTTTTTTAATCATTATTAAATTAATTACTTTTTGTCTAGCTTTTAATAAATAAATTAATTATTATAGATCTAATTAAATAATTAATTGATTTGTTAATTTATGCTTTAAATTTGGTTTAAAAAATGCTTATGATTCATCTATTTAGTACAAGTTTACAATTTAGCAAACTAATATGAACTCTTCTTGTTATTTTTTTTTTAGGAATAAGTTGTATAATTTTATTATTTAATACATACTTGAGTATCTTATTAATTATTTTTTAAGACTTAAATTCCTTAAATTCTTCATTAGTTTTACTTTATTTCAGGATTGAGACTAATTTCTTATTCTAAAATATAAAATTTTTAATCCTAACCAATTTTATTTTACTAATAAATGAATTAATGAAGTCCTTATATAATATTATTTGAAATTTATAATGCTTAAAATAAATCTATATTTTTCTAAAAAAATAAAATAATAATAGCGCAATTCGGTATATCTTATAAAATATAGTATTTCTAGGTTAACCAAATAGTATATTTAATTTTTTTTCTTATTTTATTTCCACAGGCCTTATATTTAATTTATTTTTGAATATAATATTATTTTCCTCAAGCAAATGCTTCTAATTATTAAAATATATGTTTTTATTTATAAATAAAACTAAAATACATTCTAAAAAGTTTCGGTTTAAATAATCATTTATTAAAAAAATTAAAATAAAATATTTTATTCTGTATTAAACCATAATTTTGAATTTTTTGATGTTTTTAGATATAAGCAGTCTTATAAAAAATCTATATAAATTTTTAGAAAACAATTAAAAAATAAAATTATATTACATTGAATGAAGTCTTCTGAAAGTTAAATTGTTGAATAAAAATAGCATAGTAATTAATTAAAATAGAAAATAATAAGGTTAATTTCAAAATACAATAAATTTACCAATAATTTTAAAATGAAACTCATATTTAACTATAAATCTATATAAGATTATTAATTAATAATTTTATTTTAAAGAATGCATAAATTTTGGTAAAATACATTTATATCATTCTATATTTGGATTATTTTAAAAACCTGTACTTAGATTTAAAGTTTATTGTATTAATATTTTAGGATTATTTGTATTATAACATTAATGATTTAACAAAAAAAAAATTATTAGTATGTAAATTTACGAAATTTAAAGGTTACAAATGTTAATAAAAATATAGTTAAATAATTAAAATAATCAGGGAAATTCTTTATTAAATATATCATATCCTATAATTTAAGTTATAAATATTTAAATACCAATAATTTTAGATAAAATAAAATAAATTTTAAATAATTTCTAATTATATAAAATATTTTTTTCCTCTTATAACATAAAAGTATTAATTACAATATAATTATTTTAAAAAAAAAATATAAAATAACAGAATATTTAGCAAACTCAATAATTACTAAAGGCCTTTTATAAGTATAATATTTTTTAAAATTGCTAAAAAAAAAAATTATTTAATTTTTTAATTAAATTTAAAAAGTACATGTAGAAAAATATTAGATATTTGCATATTTTAATAATAAACAAATAAATTAAAAGTAAAAATAATTATTTATTACATTATTATGTTATTAAAATTAAAAAATATAATTATTAAAATAAATATTATTATAAAATAATTTAAATAATTAATAAATATACATAATATTTTTATAATACATGAAGTAAAATATAATTATTTTTCATTGATATTAATATATAAAATTATAATATTTTTAATTAATTCTTAAATATCCTTATATTATAATTTTTAATAAAAAAAAGTTAATATTAAAAATCTGAAAGAGTTTTTTGTTTTTTATATTATAAAGTTTAAAGAATAAATAATACTATAAAATAAGCAAATTAATTTGATTTTTGTCTAAATAATATTTAATAAATATAACTAATATTTTATTCAGTATTATATATGAGAATTGCTTCTAAATTTATTATTATCATTTAAAAATATATTTTTTTTAGGCGAAGATTATTAAGATGAAATAATTTTACGTGTAGCTTAGATAAAGCTTTAACTTTTTTAATTAAAAAAATAAAAAATAGAATAATTAATTTATATTTACCATTTTTACATTAAAATATTTGACTATTAATAATAATTATTTTCTTAATTTTTTTCATTGTTATTTAAATTTTGTAAAAGTTCTTAATCATATTTTTAAATATTGCTGATTTATTTATGTTCTTATTCCTCCTATATATTTTTTATAAATAAATCATAACATTCGTTGCTTTATTAAGTTTAATAGTCTATTATTTATTTATTTAATTAAATAAATAAAATTAAATATATTTACCTTAAATTTAATTATATACTTAAAATACATTTTAAGTTTTTTAATTCTATTGTCTAATTAATTATCTAATTATTTTAATTTTTAGATATGGTTTTAATAATATTAATCTATATTATCTTTTTCTTTTAGATTATTAGTAAATTATTGATTATTTGTGTCATTGTTTTTCTTTTCTTACCATTTGTACTATTTATTCTTCTTGAATTCTTCAAGATTTATTTATTTATTTTGTTCTTTTGTTTCAAAATTATTATCATCTTAAAATGAATTTTGAGAATTTTAAAAATTTAAGCCATCACATTACAAAATTTGAGTAGAATTTTTAAAATCTTAATTATTTTATAACCATTATTGTATTTAAAATTCTGAAATAATAGAATTTGATTTTTAATTTTGTTTATTTATTTTATTTAAAAGAAGTTATTGTTATTTCATTAATTTTACAGTTTCACTATCTTAATTCTAAACTAAATCAGATTATTATATTCTTTTATTTTGGATTATTTAGTTATTTGAAGTATAATCATTTTTTTAATTATAATTTTAATATCTATTAACTAAATTAATTTAGTTATTAATTAATTCTAAACTATTAGAATTATCATCATTTTTGAAACAATTTAAACTTTATATATTAGAAATATTAGCTTTACTATCAGAAAACGATAAATCATTATTTTTATTATTAATTTATTTTTATTTAGTTAAATAGTCTACACTTAATTTATTTTTTTAATCTAAATATTAATTATTATTAAAAACTTAATTTTAATATTATTTTTTTCTAATAAATAAATAATTATAGATAAATATACTAAAAGCCTGATTTTTTAAAATTAAATTTTTCTTATTTATTATTTATTGAATATTTAATAGTTTTAAAGCGATTTTATAATAATATTTATTTTAAAAATTATAATAACTAATTAATTTACAAAAGAAATATTTTTATTATTTTTAGAATATTTAGTAAGTATTTTTTACAGCTAACTTAATACTAATATTACTATTTTTAGATTTATAAAATTTAAATTTTATTTAATTTAGAAAATAATGTTTTATTTTAATGAGAATTTATTACAAATACTGTGTAATTATAAAAGTGGCTTTTTTCATATTTTTAGATTTGCTTTAATAAAAATAAATAAAATTAGGACAGCTTTAGTTAATATTAAATTTATTTAAATTATATTTATAAATAATTTAAGAATTATTTTTCTTTTAATTTTTATTTTTAATATTTAATTAATATTAATTAAATTAGGAAATATTATTAACATAAAATTTTTCATGAATAGATTAAAATTTTATTGGTTAAATAAAATTATCTTTAAAAAAATGATTATTTGATTATAATTATTATAATTATTATTATTATTATTATTATTATTATTATTATTTATATTATTCTATTTAATTTTCTTTATATTTTTACTATTTTTATATAATAATTTCATTTTTCTATATATTAATTTCTAAATTAATTTATTTTTTATTTTAGTTTTATTTTATTTGTGATTATTATTTTTATTTTTCTAATATTCGCTCATTTTTTTTTTCTTAATCAAATTATTATTTTTAATTTTATAAATTATTTTGTTAAATATTTTAATATTTATCTCTATTATTATCTTTTATTTTATTATTATTACTATATTATTTCTATATTTTTTACATTAATTTTTACTGTTCATTTAATTATTATTAATTATCACTTTTTATTATAGACATTGTTTATTTTATTTTGTTGCCATTATTTTCATATTATTATTAAATTTATTTAATTTAACATTATAATTTTTAACTTTAATGTTATTATTTAATCTTTTAATTTAAACTATCTCTTTTTTATATTATTAATATATATATTTTTTCTTTTTTTACATATAATCAATTTTTTTTGAATATCCATAATTTTAATAATTATTCTTTTCATATTCTTAATTTTTATTTACGCTTATTTTAAAATTTGCAATATAAGAATCGGGTAAATAATTTATAATACTTTTTTAAAATTATTCATTTTAATCATTTTTTAATTAACTTTTCGAAATATATTAATTTTAGATCATATTATTACCATTATTTTGATTCAGGTAAATTTTTTATTATATTAAATATGTTTTGTTTAATTATCTGTTAGAACTTTATGAATTTATTTATTTTTTTCGTTAAATTTTTCAAAAGAATAAGATTGTTGCCTTGTTAGTATTGGCATTCTATAAATATTAATATCTTATATTATCTAATATTTTTAAATTTTATATTTAAAATTTTTATGATGTTCTTTTTTTTACATTGCTCATTTTTAAATGTTGTTTAATAAGAATAAAAAAATAAAGCAAATAATATTATAGTTAATTTCAAATTTGCAAAAATATAAAAAAGAAATATTATTGATAGTTCTAATTTACAAAAATGCTTGTAAATTTTTATAAATTTAAAATAAAATATATTTTTAAATCAATAATATAATCTATATATATAAAAATAAAAAAATACTAAAAAGATATAATTTAAATCAAAAAAAATTAAAACTAATTAAAAAAAGAGCAACTAAAAGAAATGTCTAAAACAGCTGTTTTAATGCTCAATTTAGGAGGTCCAAATAATATCTCTGAAGTTACTCCGTTTCTACATCGATTTTTTTGCGATACAACAGTAATAAGAATTCCATTTGGATTAGGTCCATACATTGGAAAATTAAGAGGTCCTGCAAAAGTGACCAAATAATATCAAAAAATAGGAGGAAAGAGCCCTATAAAAGATTGGACAATAAAACAAGGTGAGAAAATGATAAAACATTTGGATATAATCTCACCATAAACAGGTCCTCATATTTATTTCCCAGCATTTAGATATGGATTGCCTTTATACCATGATTAAATAGATGAATGCATAAACAACTATTCAGAAGTAGAAAGAATAGTATTGTTTTCATAATTCCCTTAATATTCATGTACAACAGCTGGAAATGCTATAAGATATGCTTTAAAGCATATGTAAGAAAATCACAGTAGTCATAATAAGAAAATTCATATAATTGATAGATGGTTTGATAACGAGTATTACATAAAATCAATTACAAATATTTTAAAATAAGATTTAGAAACCAATTTTGATGAAAAACAAAGAGAAAAAGTTTTAATTTTATTCACAGCCCATTCATTACCACTCGATTTTATTTAATAAGGTGATGTTTATCCTTTCGAGATTGCAAGCACAGCTGAAAAAGTAATAAAAGAAGGAGGATTTAAAAACTCTTATAGGGTCAGTTGGTAAAGTAAGGTTGGACTAAAGTAATGGCTTGCTCCTTCTACAATAAATGCACTTCAATAATATTCGAATAAGGGTTGGGAATATATAATTATTGTTCCTCTTGGATTTACAAGTGATCATTTAGAAACTCTTTATGAAATAGATCATGAAATAATTGAAGAGTTTGGATCTAAGCTTAAATATAAGAAAATTGCTAGGTCTAGAAGTTTAAATGATGACGATACCTTTTGTTAAGGATTAGCTCATATTGTTGCCGCTAACTTAAAAGATGACAGCTATAGATCACCTAATCTAAATTTAAGATGTCCTGATTGTAAATTTAAAGAATGTAATTTGCTTTTTAAATGAAGTTTGTTAATTTTTTGTTATTTTTATAATAATATTTTTTATTTTAAAAAAATTATTAATTTATTTATAAAAAAATATTTTTATTTTTTTAAAAATAAAATAATTTTTGCTTTTGTAATTTTTTTTTTTTAAGTAAATTTAAATATAGTTTCGATTTTTTAAAACCAAAAGTTTATTAATGTTTTGTTTTGTTTTGTTGTTTTTTACAGTTTTAATAAAATAATTATTAGATAAATATCATTTCATTAAAATGTATTTAAAAATTATTAGATAATCAAAATTTAAACTAATATAAATAATAATTTAATATTAAAAAATATATAAATACATAATTGTCTAATTTTGTTAGAATTTTTTATTTTTAAATTCATATTTTTATATTTAAATATTTTATTTCGATAAGATAATTATTTAATTTTTATAAAATTAAAAAATAAAAATACAATAATGTAGTAAGACAATATATAATAATATTAATAGAATCAATAAAATTTGGTTTAAGAATAATTAAGTTTTTAAAAATTACAATCTATTAAAGATGAAGATAACTATTAATACGAAAATCAACAAAATTATTTATATTTAACAAATAATATAGATAATTTAAATTTTTGTACAGAACAAAATGGAGTTTAAATATTAAATTGTACATCTTTTTCACAGTAGTGTATTCCTTAGAATTTATTGAACTAACATAAAAATGTAAATTGAAAAAAATATATAAATATTTAAAAAATAAATAAAATAAAACAAAATAGAGTATATGGTTATCCGAAGAAGGACTCCCTTAAAGCTTTATTTTAGATCTTAAAAATATACAATAAAGACCTCGCTTTTTCAAATCTATAGGTTTTTATTGTTGGCATGATTATTCAACAAATCCTGCAGTTATTGAAATTTCTGTATCTCTTGAAGGCACAAAATTTATTACTTGGGTTATTATTAGAGCGGAATTAGTAAATTTTATATATTTAGTAATTAATTAAGGATTTTTATTTTTTTAGAAAGCAGGTATTTAATTATTTAGTATTGATCCATTAGGAAAAAGATATAATTATATAAAGGTATAATTTATTTTTTAATTTAATCTAAATTAAGTTATAAAAATATATTTTAGTTTACTGTGAAAGAAACTTTTGGAGGAAGTAAAGTTTATATAAATTAATTATATTTATTGGAAGATAATATGCTTATTAAAACTAGCTAGTGCTTAATGTAATGGCCGTTACATACTACTAATAATATGGTAAATTCTTTAAGTGGATAAAAATAATCTTAAGTATTATAATAATAATAATATTCACAAAGTGAAAGAGTTAGTCAAAACAAATATGGTTAAATGAATATCTAACAGACAGAAATCTAATAATAATAGAATACTTAATAAATATAAACATCTGGCTCTAAATTTAATTATATATAAAAACCATATAATAAAAAGAATAATATAGATTCTGTATAGTATGTATAACCCTATAAGTATATATATATATTTTAATATTATTTTTTTATAATTTGTATAATATTTTAAAGTGAATAAGGAACAACAGCTAAATCAATAATAGAAACAGAAATTAGCAAAAATTAAAACAAAAATAGTTAATAGATAAATTAACCATATGATGTACTTTTTAAAATAAAATTTTTGTAATATATTATTTTTAAAAAATTTATATTTCTTTTTTATTTTGAAAAAAAAAAAAAAAAAAATGAAGATTTTATCAAAAGATATATTTATTTTATAAAATGAATTGATGAATATTTAATAATCATTATAGACTTTTGGAAATATTATTTAAAAAATGCAAGAAACAAAAGAAAATATTGTAGAAGAAATCTCTTTGTCTACTGAATCTTTATATATTTTTAAATAAGAAGTTAATTAAAGATTACTTAAATTAGAATAATAAATTATAAATTAATAATAAGAGTAAATCAAATATTAGTAAGAAATAATAGAATCATAGAATAGCAATAAATTTTAGTCTTAATAAAAAATATAAAAATAAGGCATGATTATAAACAGTTAAGATCTAGAAAAAGTAATTATATTAAATATTATTAACTATTTTAATTGTCTTTTTATTAAAATATTAACAATAAAAGTCTATAAACATTGCCTTAAATAGTCGACTTGGATTATTATAATAGAATATAAATCAAACTATAAAAGAATCAATAAACCTCTAGCATTAAGAGTAGAGTTAAAATATATTTAGAAAATAATAATAAAGTAATTAAAGCCCTGATTATTAGCCTTATGATAGTTTTAAAAAATACTAAAACATTGAAAATTCACAAAAATCAATTAAAAACAATGGAAATAAAAATGTTTATTATTAAAATAAGTAAAGAGTTGTATATTTATTAGATAAACTCTAATAAAAATTGAATTTAAGAGTATACTATATAAATATTTTTTTATATACAATATTTTTATAAATATAAGTAATAAAAAGTTAAAGAGCTAAATACTGAAGAAAGAAAATCTCGAAAAATGCAAAAACTAAAATTAAAAAACTAAAATATATACAGTGATTCATCAAATGAAAATATATGAAAAATGAAAAATCTAAAAGATTTTAAAGAATCATTTATTTGAAATATATTTATATAAAATAATAATTTTTAAATTTATTAATTAAAAATTAAACTTTTAATGAAATTTTAAAAATAAATGTACAAAATAATATTTTGAAATAAATAATTTTAATTTTTTACTGATTCATTATATTATATATGTATGATATTTTTTATAAATTTATTTTAAATAACTATTGCTTAAATAGTTTTTAAAAAAGCAAAATATATATAAAATTATAATAATTAATTAATTAAATAAAATTGTTCATATTGGCTTTTTTAAAAATTAAAATTATATTATTTTTTAAATATTATGCTTTTAATTTTAATCTTAATTTTTTATTATTATTTCTGTTTTAATGTTTTTATTTTTTATATATATTTTTTTTTTTCAATAAATAATCAAAATAAAGTCCGTTATCTATATTTTCAAGCCATAGTTTTTGTTGATTGATTTTTTTTAAAAAAAATTATAACTAGAACTTTCTATATTATTCTTTTTAATTTCTTAATTATTCTTTATAATACATATAAATTACATAATAATTAAAATATATATTTTTTAAATAAATATTTTAACAAAAATAAAATTGAATAAATATATATCATCATTAACTCTAATAAATATATATACATGGATATCTTTATAAATTTTTAATTAAAATTATAGTATGATTTTATTAATAATTAGTTCAAAAATTTTATACTTAATTTAAATAGAAAAAATAAATTAAATAGAAAAAATAAAGAAATAAGAATAAAGATAGAAATTATATAAACCAGCAATAAAAAATTATTAATAAATGTATTTAAAAATTCAAAAATAATAATTAATATAAAATAATATATATTAAAGTTATATCATATATATATCATATATATAATTAATATAAAATAATAAAAAAATTACATTGATTATTTGATTCTGTAAAAAAGAAAAAAGTATTTATAAATTATACTAAAAAATAAAAAAAGAGTTCAAAAACAATCATAAAATTATAAAAAAATAAAATTATTATGAATGAACAAAATTAAAAAGATTAATGGATTGGTTAAATAGTATGTCGACACTATACAATAATAGAAAAAATAGATTCAGGATCATTTGGAAGCATATATAAAGCTAGGCGTAAAAAAGAAGCAAACAACCGTCATATAAATAGTCAAGGAGACGATTTATATGCAATAAAAATAGAGGATAATACATAAAGAAATGCAGATACATTAACCTAAGAAGCGAAAATATTATTCGATTTAAAAGGTGAAAAAGGCTTTACAAGAATGTAGTATTATATAAAAAATGATAAAACAAATACTATGGCAATGGTTTTGTTAGATAAATCTCTTGAAAAACTATTTAATATGTGTAAAAAAAAATTCTAATTAAAAACTATTTTAATGATTGCTGATTAAATGTTGAATCGTTTATTATATTTACATTCAAAGGGGTATATACATAGAGATATTAAACCTGATAATTTTATGATTGGAAGAGGAACAGATAAAAATGTTATTCATTTAATTGATTTTGGATTAGCTAAATCTTATATTTAAAAGGATGGTAGTCATATTAGTTTTTAAGAAAAATGTGGTTTTATTGGTACTTCTAGATATGCTTCAGTTTAATCCCATTTAGGTTAGTTTTTTTTTTAAATATAAACTTAATTTATTTATATATATATATATATTTTTAGGGTAAGAATAATCAAGAAGAGATGATCTTGAGTCTCTTGGTTATACTTTAATATATTTTTTATAAGGAGGCCTATTACCTTGGATGAATTTAAAATATAAAACTAAATAAGAACAATAATAAATTATTGGATAAATAAAATCTAAAATACCCATGAATGAATTGTGTAAAGGACTTCCTATTGAATTTAATTAATATATGGTTTATGTAAAAAATTTAGGATTTTCAGAAGAGCCAAACTATAATTATTTAAGAAAGCTTTTTAGAACTTTATTTCTTAAAGAAAATTATGAATATGATGATGTTTTTGAATGGATTAACGGTTTTTATTTATTTTTTTATTCAATTTTTCTATTGTTTAATAAATAATTAATAATAATAGATCCTATTACAACTGCTGATAAAAGAAATATGTTTGAAAAATTCAAATCTATGAATCCTACTCCTGTAAATAAATTAGAAACATAAAACATTGTTTAAGAAGATGAAAATTTAAGCAATCATTAAAATACAGTAGAAAAATAATTTATTTAATTTTATTAATTTTTTTAAAAAAAAAATAGCTTGAAGCCAAACTATTAAGAAAAAACACAAGAAAATCATCTTATGAATATAAAAAACAAATTGAACTATAGGTAAAAGAAGAAGAGTAAATGATTAATAATCAATAAGAAAATTAATTGGATTCATAAAATAAAATAGCTGGAAAATCCAGTAATATTGCTCATATATAAATAAGTTAAAATGATTAAAATCAATAAGATTCAAATACATAAACTTACAATTCATATAAATAAAATTTATAAGATAAACCTAAAAATATTATATATATGATTAACAATTGTGAAAAAGAACTTGAAAAAGCTTTAGAGGATGATGATTCTACAAATGGAATTGGGGATAGGATTTAAAAACTATTTTAAGTTTAAATGAACATGTATTTTTTTATTAATAAAATTAATTAAAAAAAAATAAAAATAAAAAATATAGAAAAAGATATAAAATAAATTCATGTAAAAATAAAAATTGTAATTAAACTAATATTTGACTTAAAAATTAAAAATTTCTGAGCTATAAAACTAAAGGTCAAAACAATTTTAAATGTACATATTAAAATTTCAATAAAAATATATTTGATATAATTAGAAAAAAAAAAAAAAAAAAAGTATTTATAAATATCAATAATAAATTTACCTTGATATTTTTTTTGGAATAATACTAGAATATAAAAAATAAAATAAAAATAAAAATATTTTCTATAAATATTTTCTTTTTCCATTTAATATATTAATAAATTCAATTGACATTAATATTTTCTTAATTTATATAACTTTTAAATTTAACATTTATTTAACAATTAATTTCCTTAATAAATAAAAAAAATAAAATATTATATATACAATAAAATATTACATATTTTTAATTATTTTTATTTGCTTTGAAACTATCGGTATTTGCTTATAATTAATTATTTTCCTTCTAATCATCTATTTAATACAGTTTCTCTTATTCTCCATTAATACTATTAGTAATATATTTTTTGTAATTTTCAAATGAATCTTTATATTCATTAAATATTTTCATTTATTATATTTAATCCTATTTATTATAACAAAGCGTACAAATAAATTATATTTTTTCAGCTTCTTCAATACTTCCTTTATACCCCAAACATTTAAAATGGAACCATTCATTGCATATTTCACATGCTTTTTAACAAGAATTTAAATAAGTATAATTATAAATTAAAAAATACCCATCATTTAATCTCCATAAGTATATTTTTATCTACAAATACAATATAATTGATCTGAATCCTCTTTTAAAAATTATATATTTTTTTAAAAAAAATAGAATATATTTACCATTAACTGATTCATAATTTTCAGCATATTTCTCTTCAGTTTCTTTAATTTTTTCTATTTATTTTTTAACTTTTCCAATTTTTTTAGTATTTAATTTCAATTTTTTCTTTTTATTTTTATCTTTTGATATTTTATTTGCTTTTTTAATATATTTCTTTGATAAATTTTTAATATCGAATTTATTATTATTTTCATTTAATTTAAAAAGCTATTATTCTATTTCATTCTTTTTTAATTATCTTAATTTAAAATATTTTGATTTTCTAAACCTTTTCTATAAAATTTATTCGAAATTTTTTTTCTAATTCTTACTTTTTTATATATTAATGTATTTTTTATATAACTCTAACTTCGTATCTGGTGATTCACATTTTATTATTTTGGAAAATTCAATTTAATTAATTATAGTTTTAAAATGTTTTAAAAATTCCTAACCAGGGAAATGAATAACCTAGTATTATAAACTTTGATTATTATTGTTATTATTATTTTATTGAATTTATTCATCTTTTTATGTTATTGTTTCAATATCTATTTCATTGTTTTATTATTATTATTGTATTTTTTGGTTTATTTTTTTTAAATAAATTATATTTTCGTCTATATTATAATAATATATTAGTTAATTAATCACGTTTTTAATATGCTTTTTAAGCTTATTTTTTTGTAATAAATTTTTTATTTTCTTTGAAATTTTTAATTTTTATTTCATGACTTTTTTCTTTTATTTTATTAAGTTTTTTTTTAAGATTTGGTAGAAATTTTTTATCTATTTTGCTTATTTTTTTATATATTTTTTACAAATCTTATAATTTCTCCCTTTTTTTATAATAATTTTATTTTTATTTTTTGAAAAAAAAAAAAAAGGAAGGAAAGAAAGAAAGAAAGAAAGTAAGAAATGAAAAAAAAAAATCAAAAAAAAAAAAGAAAATTAATATATTAACTTTAATTATTTTTTTTTGTAAAAAACTTTGTATTTTTTTCTTTATAATCTAAAGTTTTAATAATTTAGAGAGGTTTATGATAATCACAATATATAATATACTATTATTTCTCATTATTTTATATTTCTAGATGAATATTTTATATCCTTGCACATTCAGGATGAAAAGAGTAAATGCAATTATTTTTCTAACATTAAATACAAGAACCTGAGTCTATTTTTGTTGTTATTTTAAATAAAAAAATAAAAGAATATTACTTTTTTGTTTGCAAATAGCACATTCAAGTTCAAATCTTAATTAATCAATTTTATCCAATCCTTTAATATTATTAACAAAATACTTATTTTCAAAAAAGCATTCAGGCACATATAAAATACAAGAAATGTGGCACCAAACATATTTATGTTTAGGCTATGCAATTAATTCTTATTCATCATAATTTTTTTTACATATAGTATGATAATCATAATACAAACCTTCTTATTAAGAATTATTTTATTAACTACTTTACTCAATTTCTTATTTATTATCTTTTTATAGTTCACATTTATTTGCAAATTCACTATATTTTAAATTTTTATTATTAAAGATATCCTAACTCATTAATATTTTGCTCGGCTTCATTGCTCCTCCCCTTTTTGTACATAAAGGACAACTTAAATATCTTCCATTCTATCCAAAAGACGTACATAATTCACAAATCCAATCTTCGTTAGGAATCTTGGGAATGCCATAACATTTCTAATGTACAGAGATATTGCATTTCTATAAAAATATTTAAATAAAAATATAAAAAAATCAAATAATTACTGCACAAAAAACTATTAAATCATCATCAGTATAATCACCATCATTGCATATTTAGCAAGTAATATCATTCATTTATATTTTTTTAGTTACATCATGCTATTTATTATTATTTTATTTATTGTCTTAAACTTTATACGTTTCTTCATGAATAATTTACTATTATTTATATGTTAAATACTTTAAGTAGTCCTTTTCTATAGTATTAAGTCCATAAATATCTACTAATATATCATTTAAATCGATATCTTATTTTTAGTAAATAACTTTTTCTGTAAAAACTTCGTTTGTTATATTATTTTTGATTTTATTTACTATTTATTTATTTTGTTCTCTTATTTATTTTAATTCAAACTAATATAATTTTTCAATTTATGAAAGGTCTAATTTTTTCATTAACTGTAATATTTCTTCGATATTATTATTGTTTGACTCTTCTTATATTTCTTCTTCTAAAGTAGTAGATTCTGATAAATTTGAATAATTAGTAATTATATTATGAATATAATTATTTTATTCGCTATTTGTTTTCTAATTACTTTATTAAATATATGTTAAATAAAGACAAATTAAATCGTTTCGTGTTTATAAAATATAAAAATCATCTTCTATTGTATAATCTGCTTTTTAAACTATTATTTATTTTATTAGATTTTCTTAATATTATTATTATTTTTATTATTCTTAATTTAAAATAAATTATTAATAATGCTCGTTTATTTTTTAATTTATAAATTTAATTTATGATATATAAATCTAATTATTTTCTTCTTAATTTTTAGCTTCTATTACTTACTTTTTTTATAAATGGATTTTTTTTTTAAATAATATAAAATTACTTTTTTATTTAGTCTTATTGTCAAATATATATTTAAAGCCTAGATTTAACTAATATTTTAATTAAAATAATCCAAAGGTTCTATATCACTAAAAAGAAGAAATTTAGGAAAATACTAAGAGCAAATAATAAACCAAAAAACAGAAGGTGTTAGAATTGTATCTATTAATAATATTTTATAGTAATAAAAAATATTATAAATATTTTTAATCATAAAAAAATATTTACCTTTATTATTTATAAATCCATTTATTACTTAAGAAAGTGTATCCTTTTTTAAATTATTATTTATTAATAGGTTATATAAATTCTAATATTTTTTAGGTTATTTTTTCGAGGCCTAAATATAAAAAAAATAAAGTCATTTTTTATTATTTTATTACTATTATTTCCATTATTATAGTTTGCAGGAATATAAATACAAAAAATAGATTTTCTTATTTCTTATGTGTAAGATTCGTATTTTTAATACTTTTTAAAAAATATTATAATTAATTTACTTTAATACTTTATCTTTAAATTTAATATTTATTAAATAAAAAATATAATTTATGATGTAATAAATAATATAAATATTTATTTTATAATTTATATATTTATTGTTATTTGCAATACTTTTATTAATTATTATAAATTATAAATATTGTATTATTTATATATAATCTAATAACAATTTATTTGTTTATAATAATTTTATTTCTTTTATTATTTTAGTTTTTTAAATAATATTCATTATATAATATTAAAATGTATAAATTAATTATTTAAAAAAAAAAAAAATATTTTATTTAATAAAAGTTAATTTATTATAAAATTTATATTTGTACATTAAATTAATTTTATTATATCTTTTTTTAGTTCAATATAATTTTTAAAAGAAATGCAAATTTATATAAATCATAAAATACAATATTTTATAATTAAAATCATCGAAAATCAATCATTCTTTATTTATATTTAGAAATAAATACATATTAATGTATAAAGTATTATATTTATTTAAAATATTTTTATAAACCATAATATACAAAAAATTTATATAAATATATTTTTAGAAATAAATACTCTTTTATTCAAATCTTAAATCTTTTATATAATAACCCAAAAGCCAAACCATAAATAATTGCTGATATATGAGCAGGTCTGCAAATTTCATTCACATAAAAATGCTAAAATTCATAGATTTCATACATAAAGTAAACAATAGGTATTAAAAAAAAGGGTAAAACTCTTGTTTAAAAAAACATATAATTAGGTTTAATCGCAGTAAACATGAACAAAAAGCTAAAGATGTAACAGCTCCATGTGACTTAGGAGTTACCATTCCAAGTTGGTGTTTTTTTGATTTTTCATAATAAAAAGTAATAGCAGTTGTAAATAGAGAATTTGTTAAAAAAAGTAAAATCATATATTTTTATTTCATATATTTACTGCATAAAAATAGTGATAAAAGCAATGGGGGACCATATACTATTATACTTCCTTTATTTATAAATGATAAAGAACCTTTTTAAAAAATAAATTGAAATTATTAAATTATTTTTAAATTAAAATACCTAAAAATATAGCATGATAATAATTTTTTTTTGGAATACATTCTGATATTGTAGCATGTTCAAATATATAACTATAAGGATAGTTTTGCCAGGAATAATATATTAAAGACGAAGCTAATATAATAGCAAGAGGAAATTAGTAATCAAAATAAGTTGGTATATTTTACTCATTATTATATTATTGTTCTGTTTTTTTAATTTTTTAAATAAAATCAATTGTACTATTATTATTAATATTTTTATATTATGTTTATTCTTATTTAATTCCCATACTTTCTTAAGCTTGTTTTTTAGCTTTAGCTATCTCATCTAGATCTTTGTCTCCTTTTAAATTATGAAAGTATTTATAGCTAGTTTAATATTATAGATGCTTAAAAATTTGTTTATTAAGTATTTTTGAAATCATAATTATTTAAATTTTAAAGATATTTTAATATTTATTTATATTAAATAAATTATATCGATAAATCAATATATAATTTTTGTTAATAAAAGTTTATATATTTTATATATTGATTTATTATCTATATATTTAATCATTTATATATAAACAGAATAATATGTTAACAAAAATTAATTTCGTAGACGTATATTTATTAATGATATTTGCTTTTGACAAAAATTGTTCTTTAATTTCTATTTTATTTTTTCATATTTACTTTTTTTGTTTATATTCTAAATTCAATTAAGTAAATTTATGTCTTAAAACAAAAAAATAAAAAATTTAAGTTTAATGAATAAAAATTAGGTAAAATTATATTATTTATTTTTAAATGAAGTAATATTTAATAGAAATAGTAAGAATTCCTAAAAATCGTATTTTAAAAAGCTATATGAATTTATACATTTAAGATAAATCTAAATATATTACATTCTAAATTTATAAAAAATATAAATATTTTATTATAAAATAAAAAAAATGAATAAAAAACTATCGTTTTTCGAAAAAAAGTTAACTTAATTTTTTTTCAAATCACATTTTAATTGTGTATATTATACAGAACTAACTAATAGAAAAATAATTAGTATAAAAGGAAAAGATTCATTTAAGTATTTTTTTTATAAAATTGTAATTTTATTTAAAAAAAAAAAAAAAAGTGTTTTGTAATAGATTTAAACCAAAGATTTAAGTAGTTTTAATAGAAATACAGATTAGGCAGCTTTATATACATATTTTCTAAATGAAAAAGGAAAAATATAAAATGATGCAATAATAATAAGACCTAAAATGTAAAATTTTATATATAAATATTAATTTTTATAAATTATTGAAAAATATATTTATGTATTTCTAATTTATATAAGATTTTATAAAGGTGAAATAAAAAAAAAAGAGAATGAATTTTGGCTAGATATAGATTTAAATCAAAAAAAATTAATTTTTAAAGGATATAAAAAAAATAACCTTAAGAAAAGTGTAGTAATTCAAGATTATACTTAATATTTAAAATATTACTCTTTTTACGTAATATTTTTTTTTTTTTTTTAATTATTTTTAATAATTTAAAAAGAGTGAAATTTTCTAAAATGATTAAAATAATGTTGGAAAATATTAACATATACATGATGATTCAATTTATGAATAAACAGAAAATGATGAAATATATACTTAAGTAACTTTTACTGATCCTAGAAGTGGAGCATTAGGGACAAGACTTCTATGTCCTTAGGATGGTTTAATAAATTTAAATATTATTTATATTTATTTTAAAAAGATAAATTGGATATTGAATAAAATTTAAAATAATAATCTTTGAATATATATGAATCTTTTAGGACTATATTAGGAATAGCATAAGTATTAATTTTATTATTTTGTTTTTTGTTATTATTAATTATAATTATTAAATTTATAAAATAAAATTTTTAAGGGTTAGGAAACTTCATAATTTTTCCCTTATTAAGTTAATGGAGATTTTTTAAACGGAATAGACATTAATAAAAGTATATTTTAATTTTTACTAATCAATATATTTATAATAGAAAATTTTTCTGGTAGGCATAAGCTTATAGAATTTTATTAATAAGGAGTAACAAATCATATTTATATTTTAAATTATTTATTTTTTAAGATTTTAAAGAAAAGAATTATTCCTTTTATAATTTTAAATTAATACAATCAACAATATTTATACAATAGTAAATTAATATTTTATTATACTTTTAATAATTTTTATATTAAAAGTACTTAATCCTCCATATATTTATTAATATGATAAATAATTTAATGAATAATTAAAGGGTAAACCTGTAATTAATAGTTAAGGAGAAGAAATAGGAAATGTATTATGTAAATATAATATTCATAAATATTTATCTAAAACAAATAAAAAAATAAAGGTAATTAAGCAAATATAGGTTTAGCATTAATAAAATATATTTATGATGGTAAATTAATATATATTATATATTAAATTAAATATTTACCAAATAAAAACATTTAATTAATTTTAGAAAAATAAGCTAATTAAAATAATATGAAAATCAAGGTTGATTAACATAATGGATAATAGATTTACACTTAATGGTTTAATAATAATATTTAATAATATATTAAATAAATGGGTCTTTTGAAAAATGATAATTAATTATTTTGATTAAATAAAAGATAGTATTTAAGATAAAATAAATTAAATTGAACTAATAATTAATTTTATTTAATGTATTTGTTTATATTTAAATTGTATTTTATATATTTATTAATATTTTTTTTTTTAAATAAAAAATTAACTATTTTATTATAATTTAATCTTTTATTTATTTGAAATTATTATATTAATAATGCAGACGCGATTTAAATGGATGCCTAAAATCAATTAAATAAATTCTTAATTAATTAATTAAAATGAAATTCATAAATAAAATTATTTATAGTGTAAAAATCAAGATCAAAAAATCAAAATTATTTAATATTCTTCAACTGAAAGATAAAATAGAAAATATTTAAAGTATTTTATTTTTAAAAAATTATTAATTCATAATAAAATTTTATAAAGTACATAAACTTCTTAATAAAAACGCTTAACAAACAAAAATAGAAGTTTATAGAAATTAACTTAATAATTAAATATATCAACATAATAAAATAGTGAAGATTATAAATAATTTTTTTAACAATTAAATATAAAAGAATAAAAATAATCTAATAATAAATGGCTATAAAACTCATTACCTTTTTAAGATAGTGAATATTTTAAGAAATAAAATTTAAATATAAAAAAAAATATTCAAAAAAATGAACCTCAAACAAAAACTGATGTAAAGATTTAAAATTAAAGCTATTTTTTAAAGAGAGATTAAAAAGATATCAGTAAAACTAATTTTTAATTATTATAATACATTATTTAAAGGTAAAAATTATTATACTTAAATAAAAAAATAAAAATATAATTAAATGGATTGTGTAAGTAAAATTAACTTAAAATGTTATAATTATTATTATCTTTTATATTTTTAGGATAAAAAAAAATTTGATTAATTTTTAAAAAGCTAAATTTAATAAACACTCAAGAATGAGTATTTAGATGAAGAAAAAAATATAATAAAGAGTATTTTACCAGGCATTCATTTAGAAAATATAAAGTAATATGAATTATTTTTTATCTTAAAATTTATAAAAAAGATATTAAACAAAATGTTATAATTTTTAAAATATGGATTTATATTTGTATTAATTAATATCTTAAGAAAAAATAAATAAATAAGAAATGATCACTTATTTACATTCTGATATTGAAAATACTAAAATTATTCATAGAAAAAATTTAAGCCTATAATAATAATTGCAAAAACCTCTAAGATATCAAAAAATTCTTAATGAAGTTTAAGTAAAAGACAATGAAAAAACTATTTAGAAAGATATTATTGAAATGTCAGAATATGAAAAAAAATTATTAGCCTAAAAAAAAAAGAAATTGCAAATAATAAGAAAAAAAATGCTTAATTAATTATTATTGTTTGTTAAATTAAAATTAAGTCTAGATGAAGTACAAAAAAAAATAAAAAAATAAGAATAATTAATTAAATTAAAATTAATAAAAGATACAAAAAGAGAATTTATTTATAAAATAGCCTTTTTCAAGAAAAAAATCAAAATAATTTTATTTTTATTTAAAATAATAAAATGAAGAAAAAGTATATTAGTTGTTACAAGAAGACAAATATTTAGTTTATGATATAGATTAGGTAAACTAAAGTTTTTTAAATATTTTTATATTAATATTTAATTAATAAGCTTTATTAAACTCCTTTACATTGGGTTTGTAAAAGAAATTATATTAACCTTGCTAATTTATTATTATAATATAGACCCCATATTGATGCTAAGGATTTAGTATTTTTTTATTATTTAATTTTTAGTTTTTTATTTAAATATTTTAGTTTGGTAGAACATGTTTATATTATGCCTTTAGGGAAGGATATTTTAAACTAATCAAACTATTAATTTTAGAAAATGCATGTCCCTGGTCTGATACTAAAAATAATATATAATAATATTATGATAATTTATAAGATAATATTTGTAAAAGAATTTATTAAATATCAAAAAAAGTATAAATTATTTTAATTTATTAATGTTTTATTTTTGAAACTTTTAATATAATAAGACTCATTTAATGATGTTAATTGCAAAACCAAGCTAAAGAGCAGAAATTTGGAAAGATTAAAAATATATATTTTAATAATTTTATTGAATAATATTTTTATTTTTTAGAAAAATAAAATAAAAATATTATAAACAAAAGTTAAAATAGATATTATTTATTTCAATTTAACTCCTTTTAAAATTATTAGAATTAATTTATATTTATTTATAAAAAAATAAGCTTGAAATAAATATTTGTATTTTTTTTTAAATATATTTTTTCAACTATTTATAAAACAAGTATATATTTAAATTATATTTTACTAATTGTAAAATTTTTATTTTATTTGCTAATTATTAAAATAAATAATTTCCTTTAGTTTAAGAAATTATAAAAGCACATATATATATATATATATATATATATATATCTTAATTTATAAATATTTATTTATATATTTAATTCTATAATATTCATTCAGTATAATAAAATGTATTAAAATTATATATGCAGTAATATAAAATAGAATTTCTAGATTCTTTTTCTGTTTCCTTTATTTAAAGTATTACTAAAATTCAATTTTGGCATTTAATTTTCTCATAGTTTTTATTTAAAAAACCAATTTTTCATTTTAAATTTAAATATATCTTAATTTTTTTTAAATTTTATATAATTTTGATATATTATTTTATAAAGTTTTCATTTTTCTATCTTTATTTCGAATATTTTAAAGTTTTAGAATTTAATATTTATTTGTTTTATAAAACATATATTTTCAAAAATAAACTTTTTTTAATATTTTTATTGAATCTTTATAATTTTCAGAAATTATTTCTTAATATATATATATATATACATATATTATAATTTCCTATATTATAATACTGTTTTCTGAACAATATTCAATACAAGAGACATTATCATGTTAAGATTATTCATTATTCTATTATTCAATTGAATTATTTATAAAATAAATTACATTTTTTTAATTTAAATTTCTATTTATTATATTTATTAAAATTCTATTTTTTTTTTTTTTAATAAATTATAAAAATAAAAGTTTAATCAGATTCTAAACGCAATCTTAAATTTTTTATTTCTTATTAAAGTTATGTTTTAATAATCTAAGATACAATGAATATAATAATAGAATATTTAGAGGAATATTTATTAAATCAATTTATTTATAATTTAATTAAAAATTTATTTTAGAAGATGTTAATAAATACTTCAAATTACACTTATAAAAAAATATAAATAATGTTCTTAGTATTAAACTACAAAAATTAATATCAAATAAAATAAAATAAAAATAAATATTTAACCTTTAATGGAATCCAAACCCTAAAAAAAAAATTATAAATTAATTTTAAGAAAATATTTAAATGGATAAGAACTAGGAAGAATTAATACTTAAGATTTAAAGATATTATAGTAAAATGGAAATTAAAGAAAAGGAAACATCAATATAAAAACAAAGATCTATAGTCTAAAAAATAAAAAAGTCTTTTTCAATAAACAAATTTTATTAAAATAATTCATAAATATACAATATAATTAAACCATAATTAACAAATAAAATTGAACTTAGACAAAATAAAATATATTTAAAATTACTTATTTTATACAACTTTAGTAAAGAATATTACTATCAAAAAGATAAATAATTTAATTTTTTCAAAAGTAATTATTAATAATCTAAATTTAAATTTTTAAAGTTCTAAATGTCTTTTAAAGTTAAGTCAATAATATGCATTCTAGTTTAGTTTTACAATAAAGACCTAAAAAAGTTAAATGAAAGAAACAATATAATAAATTTATTAATAAAGGAAATAATAAATTTAAAAAAAATAATTAATATTAGTTAAAGCCTAAATTTTTTAAATTATATTATGTTGCAATTAAAAAACTGATTAAAATTATTTTAATTAAGAATTAAACAAAAAAATATAAGCTTCTCAATGGAATATATATTTAATTATAATAAAAATAATTATGTTAAAATATGCTAAAAATAGTATTATTATTTTAATTATATATTTATAAATCAGGCGTATAATAAAAAACTATATATTATAGATATTAAAAATTATAAAAAATGTGAATATATTCAAAAAAGTTTAAATAATAAATATATTATGATTTTAATGAATAATTTAAATTTTAATAATAATATTAAATTTTATATTTATATTAAATTTTTAACAATAAATTTAAATATACTTTTCATATAACTATTTTTTTTTAAATTATAAAAAGTCATTATAAATAATAATCTGTAATACAATTTTTTATATATAAATAAATATTCTTATTCCTTAATTTATTAAATACATAATTTTATGAATAATAAAAAATAATTTAAAATATTTACTTTAAAAATTATAAAAATAATATACAAGTTATTTCATTTCCATCTAATCCATTTACCATTTTACCATATTCCTTCTTTTTCTTAATTAAAAGGGTTAATTTCAATACCTTCTCCATCTTACAATCCATAATTCCAGTTTCCACTATAAATATGTCCATCGGGCCTTTTTATTTAAAAAATAATAAAAAAATATTAATAGAAAAAAAAGTAATACCAAGAGTATATACCCTAACCATGAGGAATATTATTTTCATAACTTCCTTCATATTTACTTCCATCAGGCCAAATATAAATTCCTCTTCCCTATTTAACCCCATTCAAAACTTCCCCTAAATATTTTTCTCCATTAGATTCAATAATCTATTTATAAAAATTAAAATTAAACATTTTAAAAGAGTATTTACCTCTCCTTAACCAGTCATTTCTCCATTATTAAAATCTCCAGAATAAATAACTCCGTTTTCAAATTTAATATTACCTTGCCCATGAATTTTTCCCATTTAAAAATCTCCTTTATAGATATATTTACCAGTGCATTGTTCTTCTCCTTTTCCATGCCTTTAATCTTCGAACCATTCTCCGTCATAAATAAAATCCCCTTTTAAGGTTTTAAAAACGCCTTTACCATGAGCTTTGTAATTTAAACATTAGCCTTAATACAAATCACCATTATTTCTTATAATTCTTCCCATTCCAAATGGTATATCTTCTTTCCAATATCCTTCATAATAGGCTCCATCTGGGAAAATAATTTTACCTCTTCCGTGCCTTTATTATTCTTTAATATGTCCATAATATATGGATCCATCTTCATATTCAAAAGGACCTTATTCGGGAATATTATTATAATACGAGTCTTCCATTCTGAAATTCAAAGAGCCGTTTAATCTGATAGCTTCTAATACATTTTGATTTTTAAGGGAAGGAAACTATTCAATTTTTTTTAATGTTTTTAGTTATTTGTTTTCTTTATCTTTTTTTTTTTTTTTCTTTTTTTTTAATAAAAAAATAAATGATTATTTTACCTGCTGTTATTTTGGTTAAAACCATAGATTATTTTAATTATAATTTCATAGCTTAAGATTAGTTTTATTAAAGAATAGGTTGTTCTTTTGAAAGATCAATACTGACTATTTATGGTTTTTATTTAGTATGAACTTAACTATTTTTAGTAAAAATACTTTTTTTCATTTAATTTTCTTCTTCATCTATACCTTCAATAAATTATTTAAATTTTCTATACATTTCTTTACAGCTTTAATCAAAGTTTTCTTTAATTTATTCAAATAATTGTTTTGATTATTAATTTTTTTTATAATAAACTTTATTTTCATACATCCTTTGCAATTATTAAATAACTTAAATTGCTTCGACTTTAATGTTATTTAAAGGTGCGTTACTTTTAATTATTTTTAAAACTTAATCTTCATTATTAGGTGTATCTAAATCTTTTTCATCATTATTTGAATTAAATATTTTCGAAAATATATTGCTATTTTTTTCTTTCTTTTTATTATTTAATAAATCATTATATTTCTATTTTATTTCACTAACTTTTGGTTATATTTTTTTGTATTCACTTTTAATATTTTCTTTTAAAAATGTTTTTGCACTTTCAGATAATTAAAAAAATATCTTAAATAATTAAGAAAAATCCTAATCGATTTCATTTGTTTCTTATTCGCAATGAAATTAATAACTATTAAATTTATTATCTAACTCTGTAAATATATCATTAATCGATGGTAATAATTTCATTTGAATTCGGTTTTAAGTTAATATAAATTATTAATATTCTTATATGTAATATTTATGGTTTACAGTATGTTTTGGATCATTATTTATACATAACTCACACATCAAATTACCATATGTACAATTTTCAAAGCAACATATATATCTTACTTATTTATTATGTTTTTAACAAGTCAATAAATTTATTATTCCTTAATTTTTGTTTGACATATTTGTTTATTTTTATTGTGAAAAAAAAGTTATTTGTCTTTTCTTTTATTTATTTAAAATTTACTTTTGGATAACTTTATTTACTTATTTTTAATTTTAAGAGTTTTTAGTAAAAAAAAAAAATAAAAAAAAAAAATTGAATTATTATAATAAATATCTAAAATAAGAAGATAAAAAAATAATTATATTTATTTATTTTTTTTTAAAAAAAATATATTAATTAATTTTAATAAATCTTTAATATTTTCTATTCAAACTAAAAAAAAAATATTATAAAGTAAACCACCTTTTTTCATTTTTTACTAAAAAAAAAAAAAAAAAAAAAAAAAAAAATTATATGTTATATATCAATCAATCAAATTTTATTCCTTTTTATAATTCAGGTTCTTCATCAGAACTTTTAGCTTTTTATTTGTTTGGAACTTAAAGCTGCTATTATTATTATTTTAAATTATAAACTAATTCTTTCAAACTTAACCTCATGACTGTTTCAAAATACTTATTTTCTAGTCCCTAATATAAAAAAAATAAAAAATAAAAAAAAATTAAATATTAATTATATATACTGTATAAAAAAGATTAGGTGAAATAAACTTATCTAATTCAATAGTTCCTATATACTTGAATAAACTAGATTAATTTCTTGTTTTATTTAATATTTTTTCAATGAAAAAAGATCCAAATTAATCACACTCTACTCTACCAATAAGTCTATTTTAAGAATAAAGTAAAATTCCTTAATGATGCTCAGCAGAAGTATTTTTTCTAGTAGTTGCTCCCTCTATTTTTTTTAATTTTTATTTCTTTTAAATATTCAAAAAAAAAAAAAAAAAAAAAAAATAGTAATACCTTTGATATCAAGTAAATCATTTTAAGATTAGTTTTCAATAGTAGAATCTTAATTATAATTAGCTTATTCATAAAGGATTGCCTTTCCAGTATCTTTGATTCTCTAATATGACTCAACATTAATTTCTTTCAAAAATCTTCTATCTTTTTATCTTCTTAATACATCAGAATAACAAATAAAATTAACATTTTAATCATTTAAAGTAAAATGTAGATTTTCAGGACGTTCAAAAAAAAGATGTTAAATATAACTTTTTAAGCTAAAATCAATAAGTCTTTCTACTTATTCTTTTTTTTCTTTAAATTGAGTTTTTTTTTTTAATGTAATATCATTTTTTTATTAATTATAAGAAAATTCATAATTATATCCATTTTTTGAAGGAATACGTTTTAAATCAAATATATATATATAATTTCCTCTATCATGCTTTATTAATTATTCTTCATTCATTAAAAAAGCTATATTATTCAATATTGTTCTTTTATTTTAGTCTCCGTTTTCTGTTAAGTATTACTTCTTTTTTACATCATAGCTATATACAAATATTATCAGTTCTTGTAAATTTGGATTTATTTTTATATTTGAACTTATTAATCCTAGTATTTATTTAATAAATAAAAAAATATTATTAACAAAAATTATTTTTTAATTACCAACATTTAAAATACTATTAGATTTATTTTTTGAAATAAATAAAACACTTTATCCAAGTCTTAAACCAGCAAATTTGATATTATTTCCATACTAAATTTTTAGTTATTCTTAAATATCAGCTTGCTGTAGTTCTTTTTAAGTTTTTGGATATTAGATTTATTAATGAATATCAAATTTATATAACATATCAACAAATTCATATTAATTAAATCCTTCGCTATCATCATATATCTAAAAAAAAAGTTCGAAATTTTCAATAACATTTTTATCGATTGATTAATTTAGTAAAATACCATTAACTTTTTGCTGGTATTACTATTAAATTAACTCATCTTTTTAAATTTGTTATTTATTATAAATATTGTTGTAAACATCTCTTTTTTTAAGATACATTAAATTTATTTTTATTTATTAAGATTTTCTATAAAGGGCATTATCAACCAAAAGTCCGAAAGCAGCAAATGGATAGTTTATTAAGTTTGAAATTGCATTTAAAAATGATAAAGAAATATAAGGTTATCTTATTTTTAACATTATACTTTATTATTATTATTCATTTTAATTTCCCTTTTGTATTTCTTCATCAATTTAAATTTATTATTTTAATTACTATTATTATATTTAAGAAATTTATTATATCTATTCTTATTAATTATTTTCATTAGGTACTTAATCATTATCGTTTTCAATATTAATAACTGTTTAACCTTCAAGTTTATATTTTTTTATTAGTTATAATTATTGTATTTAATCTTGCTATTCTTATGTCATATTAAAAGCAACTTAGCAATCATGACATATTTTAAGCTTTTATATTATAAAATAAACATAAAAAATTTTAAAAAGATACATTATTTGAATTTGTTTATTAATTTTTTTTTTTTCCATTTAATTTATCCTCATAATTTAAAATTAAAACTAAAGTAATATCTTAGCATGATTCATCTTTCATCATACCTCCAAAAAGAATAATTTGATCTTTATAAGCTTCAGTTGAGTGGGAAATAATAGGGTTAAATTAAGCATATCTATGCTTTTTTGATGCAACTTCAATCCAAAAGTTATTTAAGGTATCAAAAGCCCAAATATCTTGCAAAAATTTAGATTCAGTTTCCGCACTATATCTTTCTCCTTCTCCTCCAATAATAAAAATATATCTATCTTTATAAACAGTAGTTGAATGAGAAGCTCTAGCAATAGGTTTTCTCTCATCTTAATTAATACAAATTTACATAATATCAACAGATTCGTTTTTACCATCATTAAAAACATTAAACTAAATATATAATATTTATTTGATTTATATATTTAAATAAAAAATACTTTAATCTTATATAAATCATTAAAAAAAATATCAATTTCTCCAACATTTTTTCCTTACCCACCAAAAATATATAATAATCCATTAACATTAACAAAACTAAAGCTTTCTCTAGCTTCAATAATAGCTCCATGCTTATTAGTTACCTATTTCCAAGTATTTTAAATACTATCAAACATATGCATATCATTATAAATAAGCATATTATCTTCGTCTTAACTATTCAAACCTCCAAAAATAATTAAATATCTATCATCTAAAGTACATCCTTAATGTCCTTCTCTAGGATATGGATTGTTTCCTGAAGCTTCTATTTATCTCCATTCGTTTTTTTAAGGGTCAAAACACCAAAGATCATTTTTTAATTTTTAATTTGCTGTTTTTCCCCCAAACATATATATTTTTCCATCTATTAAAGATATAATATGAGAATCTCTATGTTCTGGATTATTTTAAGAATTTATGCTAATTTTCTCCCATTCATAAGTTTCACAATCTAATCTATACATTTATGATTTTGTACTTTCGTCATAGTTTTTATCCTCTATATAACCTCCTATTAAATACATGTATTTATCAATCATAACAACTTAATGACCCCATCTTTCTAAAGGATAATTAGGAGCTATTATTTTTTATTTATTTTTTTTCTATGATTAATCACCATGTTATTATTAGGTACCACTTTCATTACTGTTTATTTCGGATTGTTCTTGTTATTATTTTTAATTACGCTTTTTGTTACTTTTATTTAACCATTTCGCATTTTGAAATGGAAGTTATTGTTTTTTTGATGGTAATTCTTCTTGATTTGAATTTTATTATTGTGCACTTTTTTGATTTTCTTCTCTATTTTTTTTAGATTTGTTTATTTTTATTTTTAGAAAGTTTTTTACTTCGATAAATCTTGACTAGACATGCTATTTTATTTTTTTAAAAAAAGATTTATAAAATGAATTGAATTTTATTTTTTTTATATAAAAATATATATAATTTTCAAGTATATTATAATTTAAATTTTTTTTTTTAAATAATATAATTTTTTTAATGAAAATATTCTTATTATATTTAATACTTAAAAAAATAAAAAATTATAGATAAAATAATATTTTAAAATATTATAAGTATTTTCAATCAAAGATTTTTATTTAAAAATAAAAATTGGTCTAACGTTATACTAATATTTATTACAGAATTAAAAATTTAATTATTTTTAAATTTTAATAAATAAATTTTTTTGTTATTATAATAAATAAAACAAATATTTTTCATTAATAAAAATTTATATATAAAATAATTCTAATAGCTAAAAAATAAATAAGATTTTGAATAAAAAAAAAAAATATTAATATTATTTTTCAAAAATAATTAGAAAAAATTAAATATAAATAAAATTTTAAATTTTTAAGTAAATAAAAAAGAAAATTAAAAAAAACATTAATTTATATTCTAAATAAAATTAAACAGAGCCTCCGATTAATTTAATAAAAAAATAGAAGATAATTAAATATATATATATATATATATATATATTATATTATCTAAATTCGTATATTTTATTAATAAAATTTTATTAGATAAAGAACAAAGTTAATGTTCTTTAATTACATATTTTCTTATTTTTAATATATAATTTTCTTTAAAAATCTTCATCGGCTAATTATATATATATATTTTTATTTTTATATATATATTTATTATATTTTTTTCCTATTTTAAATATTAAAATTAATATTTTATTAAAGCAAACTAAATAATAAAATTAAAAATTCATTAACTTTTTTTTTACAATACATTTTCTTTTATTGTTAAAAGCTAATATAAAAAAAATTTATATTGAAATAAAATAACAAATTTTTTTACATTATATATTTTTATTTGAATAAAATTATTATTTATTTTGAATTTTCATTATAATAATCTAAAATTTTAAATATATTCAAATTTTTTGTTTAATTAATTTTTCATTTTTCTATTAGTTTATATAATTTATTATATTCATTTTGTTTTATTTATAACTTAAATAATATTTATAAAATATTAAGTTATTGTAATTTCTTATTTATTAATAAATAAATATTATTATTCTCTTCTTTATTCAAACTAAAAAAATTAATCTATAATTATATCACTTTTAATTGTTTTTTCTCATAAAATACAGACCATTTCAACTTTTACTTTTTTAATATTTTTTTCAATTATAATTAACAAAAATATAATAAAAAATGTATTATGTCCTATTTTATTTTTAATTGAGTTTTATAAAAGAAAAATTATAAAAATAATAAAAAAAAAAAAATGCTAAAAACTAAAATAATATAATATCTTTATTCATTTTTAAATTTAAGATAATAAATAAATTAATTATTAGATTTTATATTAGTTTATTATATATTTTAATTTACTTTTTCAACTAAATATCATGTTTTGTTTTTTAATTTCTCTTTTAATGTCATTTTTAATAGTTTCTCATGTTTTAAAAACTCATTGATTTTTTTTAAAGAATTATAATATATCCGCCTGGAAAACACTTTATACATATATATGAGTTTAATTAATAAAACTTTTTTGTTTAATATATATTTTTAAGCTTCTTTCAAGAAATAAAAAAAATTTATTATATTATTTTTTTAAAAAATATTTTTCTATTATCCAAGATATACTTATTTTTATTTAATTTTTAGATATTTTAAGTTAATAAATATTTATGAGTTTTTTTTTTATTATATTTTTTAGAATTAAAAATATTTATTTTATAAAAGTTAAACATTAAATGAATATATTAAAAAAAAAATTAATTTTTTTATAGATTAAATATTTTTTATTAAATATATTTAAATAAAATTAAAAAAGTTTTTATTTATCCATAATCTTTTCTTTTTTTTATTTATTATATAAATCTTAAAGTAAATTAAAATTTTTTTCTTTAATGTTAATAAAATTAATATAAAAATAAAATATTTATTTAGTTTTCATTTATTTTAATCTCTCGATTTATTTTAATCTCTAGATTTGTTTTAATCTCTAGATTTATTTTAATCTCTACATTTATTATTTTTATAGAAATTCTCGTATTTATCATGCAAACCTTTTTTAATCTGTGAATACGATCTACTATTAAAAGAGTTATTATTACTTTTATTTTATTAAACTAAATATTCTTCCCATTATTATTAACAGGAACAATTATATTTAAAACAATGGCATTCGTTTTCATAAAATAGTCTAGTTTGAGGGTAAATTTAATCATTTTATTCAGAAATAATACTATACAATTTTTATTTTTCCTTAATTTCAGTATAATTTAAATTTTTTTTTTAGGTAATTCATAAAAAGTCAAATCAAGTTTCGAATAACTAACAGATTTATTTTGTTTATGTTAATATTTACTTTTTTATGTTATATTTTTATATTTTCAAACTTATTAGATTATTTAGAATTAAAAGAAGAATTATTAGAAGAATGTAAATTACTTACCTAAGGAGTTAGGAAATAAGGTTTTTAAAATTAAGCCTTTTTAAATTTTTAATAATCCAAGGCTGAATGTTCTTAATTTAGTAAATTATTATCTCTCTCTATCGATGGATTTATTAAAATATCATCTTTTTATTATTAATTATTATTTGCATTTTCTCTTTTCTTAATGTTTTATTCTAGGAAATCTTTTAATTATTAATCATTATTATTATTTTATTGTTCTTCTTATTGTTTGAGATTTAAATATTTATTATTTTCGCTTTATTGAAAGTCTAAATTATAATTAAAATCACTATTGTTTTATTTTTCTTATTATTATAAATTTTTAGTATTTTTTGTTGTTTTCTTTTAGTTTTATTATGTTATGTTTTATTCGATTTCTTCTATTTCATTATAATTTTAATTAAATGGATTCGTTTAAGAGATTCTTTACTCTACTTAATTTTTATTTTCATCTTTTTCTTAATTGTTAAAACACTTTTGCACTTAAAATAAACCACGTTTGGTTTTACATACTGTCTTATCAAATATATCATAAGACTTTCTTGAACTTTTGTTAATCTCCGTTTTACTTTTTTAAATTTTTGTGTCTAAGGAAGGATTAGAATTCAAAGAAACTTTCAAAGTTTGTTGTTTTTCATTTTTATTTTCTTATTTATTTAATTTTTATTCCTAAAAATCTTATTCTTTATTATCTTTTTATAATACTATTAACTCATTTTTTTTATTTATGGAATCTTATTTTTATACTCGACTTTATTTATTCTTTGCTTCCCCTCTCTATGAAAATTATTATTACTAATCCTTTGAATTTATTAGATTTTATGAATAACTTGAAATTGATTTAATTTTAGGTTGAGTTTAGCTTGCTTATAATTAGGGTGTTCCATTAAATTTTTATAATAAAATAGTCTGCTTTTAATTTTTAGAATCAATTTAATCTATTTGTTTTTTTCGCTTTCATTTCTATTATTCTCATTAATTTATTTATTTAAAACAAGTTCTAAATTTTAATTTTTTTAATAGGTTTATTATTATATCTATTTTTTTAAACCTATTTATTTATTTTTTCATTTTTATCTTAATTTTATTCTTTGTTTTTTATTTGTTTTTCTTTATTATTATTTTTTATTTCATTTTATATTTATCTTAACCTATTTTTTTATAAAGAATTATTACTTTTTTTCTATTCATTTTAAAGCTAAAATTAGATTTCAGATTATTTATTTTGTATATTATAATCTTCTTCGGGATGATTTAAATCTTATGAATCATTTTTGTATTAAATTATGTCTTTAGTTTTAGGGTTTTCTATTTTATTTATTTCTTAATATTATTTCATTTAATTTATATCTTCTTATTTAATTTTATCTTTACTCTAATTTTTTCGCTTTAAGCTATTTTAATTATTATTTTCATTTTTTTCTAACTATTATTATGCTTAATATTAATTATTTCGTACTTATTTTTAGGAATTTATTTTCTAAAATTCTAACTTTGCTTTGTTTTCTTAAGCTTATTATTATATTTTCGATTCTTATGTCATTTTATTAGGGTTAATTTCTTATATTTATTAAACTATTTTATTATTTTATTATTAATTATTATCATTTAAACTATCAGAATCTATAAAATATTTGTCTTCATTTTTTTATTAATTGTCCTAAATTTCTTTTTATTATAAATCAATTTCTTTTTATACTTGGAATTCATCTTAAAATTAAATTTTGTTGGTTAATTTTTTCTTTTTTGTATTATTTAAATTTTCAGATCCTAAATTTTATTAAGGTTCTAGCTTTTAATTACATTCTATTTAACTTTTTTAATCTTAATTTTATTCTTATTCGGTATGTTATTATTCTTAATTTTATATGTTTTAGAAACTATATTATTATTAATTATTTTAATCATATTAATGAGTATAACTATTCTAACCATTTGAATTATTTTGTTTATTTTATTAATACTTATTTTCTGTTTTAGAATTATATACACTATAATTAAATAAGTATTATTCATTTAATTATTCTTCTAATTTATCTATACTCATTGGACTTTCCTATTATTTTGTTTTCTTTGAAACATTATCATTATTTTTTTATCGACTTTTTATTTTATTATTTTATATTTAACTATCGATTTAAATTT